GGATGGACCTAGAGACTGTCATACAGAGTGAAGTAAGTCAGAAAGAGAAGAACAAATACCGTATGCTAAGACATATATATGGAATCTAAAAAAAAAATGGTTATGAAGAACCTAGGGGCAAGACGGGAATAAAGACGCAGACCTACTAGAGAATGGACTTGGGGACACGGGGAGGGGGAAGGGTAAGCTGGGACGAAGTGAGAGAGTTGCATGGACATATATACACAACCAAATATAAAATAGCTATCTAGTGGGAAGCAGTCGCATATCAAAGGTAGATCAGCTCGGTGCTTTGTGACCACCTAGAGGGGTGGGATAGAGAGGGTGGGAGGGAGATGCAAGAGGGAAGAGATATGGGGATAGATGAATATGTATATGTATATGTATATCCCTTTGTTATACAGCAGAAACTAACACACCATTGTAAAGCAATTATACTCCAATAAAGATGTTAAAAAACAAAACAAGAAAAAACAATCCACTTGTAGGGTGGTTACGAAGCCTCAGTGAGATAAGGCATCTGCTATATAGTATTCATTCATTCCACACTTTTTTCTTGAGTGCATCCTATGGGTCAGGCTTCATTGTATTTTTTTCTTTTTTCTTTTTTTTTTTTTTTTTTTTTGTGGTATGCAGGCCTCTCACTGTTGTGGCCTCTCCCGTTGCAGAGCACAGGCTCCGAACGCGCAGGCTCAGCAGCCATAGCTCACGGGCCCAGCTGCTCCGCGGCATGTGGGATCTTCCCAGACCGTGGCACGAACCCGCGTCCCCTGCATCGGCGGGCGGACTCTCAACCACTGCACCACCAGGGAAGCCCCCAGGCTTCATTCTAAACATTGGGAGGATAAATAAAAAAAGCAAACAGTATCCCTGCTTTCAAGGAGCTTACTTTGTTGTGGAGACAGATGGACAATAAACACATAAACAAATGTATACACACACACACACACACACACACACACACACACATACACATATACAGTGGTCCCTCTGTATCCTCGGGGGATTGGTTCCAGGACCCTCCATAGATACCAAAGTCCAAAGATGCTCAAGTCCCTTGCAGTCTGCTCTCCGTATCCACAGATGCGGAACATGTGGATACGGAGGGCCTACTGTGTATGTCATGTCAGGTGGTAATAAGTGCTATAAAGAAAACCAAAACATAGTGCAGGGGAGTAGGGGTGATAAGGAGTCCCTCTTTTAGATAAAGTGTCAGAGAAGAGCTCTCCAGTAAAGTGATGTTTGACAGAGACCTAAAGGAAAGGAGGGTACCAGCTATGTGGAATTCTGGGGGAGAGCTGGGAATAGCAAGGGCAAAGGCCCTGAGGAGCTTGCTTGGTGTGCTCAAGGAACAGCCGGAGTTCCAGTGTGTCTGGCACACAGAATGATAGGCCCTCACATTGGAAAGGTGGCTGGGTTGCTGGTCAGGTCAGGCCTCCTGAGCCATAATGAGAGTTGGAATTGTACCCTGAATGAGATGGAAAGCCTTGAACAAAGGAGTGACATGATGTGACTTTGGTTTTAAAGTATCATTCTTCCTACCATACAGAAAATATATTGTTGGAAGGGTAGAATCAGGGAGGTAGCCGATAAATGGTGGCTATGATTCTTAATTATCATTAAGAAGTATAGTAGCCATCTAACTTCAAATCCTTTTCTTGGGTAATGTCTAGAACTCCTGCTCTACGTATCAATGCATTGTCTGTTGAGATCATTGTCTTTTTCTTCCAGTGGGGAAGCTTTGTAAAAGTTTTAACAGAATTGAACAGAACACTATTTTCCTATACTGGTATTCTTAGAATGGAGGAAAAAGAAAGTACTCATATTTGCGTTTTTAAGGGTGTGGAATTTCTGATATTTATGTGCTTGCCCTCTAGTGGCAGTGAATGAAATGCCATGTGATTATAGAAAGAGCCAAACTCAGGTATGGAATGTTAGTGCTGAAAGGGATCTTTAGCGATTTTGTTTTACAGATGAGGAAACTGAGGCCCGAGGAGAGTGATTTGCCTGTGGTCATTCTGGTTACTAGCAGAGCTGAGCCAAGCCTGTCTCCTGATGTGTCTCTTGACTCCTAGTCCTGTTTTCTTTCTATCAAACCTTGCTACCTGTTGTCCTTGTAAATGACAGTGTTTCATCACTTCATTTAACCATCTACATGTTGAGCCCTTATTATGTGTTCAGTATTTTCCTAGATGTTGTGGGGCTTGCAGAGAAGAATAACTTAGGCTCATTGTCTATAGGGATCTTACAACCAGTCAGAGAGACAGGATCCACTTAAGTCAAATGACAATATAAGTCAGTAGTACAAATGATAGTCCAAAGCAATATGTAGTTAAATGTCAAATGCATGATACAGGGTATAAATGCTAAGAGTTCACAAAACCGAGGAACCACTGAGACTAGAGGGTTCCCATCTTTATCCCTTTGGTTCCTTATTTTATTCATTTATTCAGTCATCCCTCAAATATTTATTGAGCACCTACTATGGGTCATATATTGTACTGGATGCTGGGACTATAATGGGAACGAGTTAGACAACATACCTACTCTAGTTGGGGTAGAGAGATTATAAATAAGTAAGTCACATTACATAGGGATGCGTGCTGTGAAGAAAATAGAACAGGTTAATGGGCTCTAGCATGACCAGGAGTGCGGTCAAGATGGACTTGTCAGGGAAGGCCTGTTTAGGAGATGACACCATTTCAAGCTGAAAAGAAGCTGATGGGAGGAAGACAGCCATAGGTGATAAAGCTGTGTAAAAGGATAATGGAATATTGCAGCAGGTGTAAACACTTTGCAGTGGGATGTGTGGAAAGAAGAAAAACAAAGACAACGTAGCTAGAGCACATTGAGCAGCAAAGCAGGAGGATGGCCTCAGATGAGTGGGGAGTGATAGGCAGGGTACATGTAGGACGGGGAGCCCTTCACAACTTTTTGTTCGTGGTGGTTGGTTTTGTTTGTAACAGAGGGAAATGACATTGTAGAATTTGCCTTTCAAAAAGAACCCTCTGGCTGCTGTGTGGAGAATAAATTCCAGAGGAACAGTACTGGTACAGGGAGATCACTTCTGCATGGAAGGTCCGTCTCTCTTTTCTACTTGATGTGATCCTACTTACGATCCTTGAACCTTCCTCCTTTCTGAAGCCTCATATGACATTCCCTCCTCACTGGCAGACTTGGCTGCTTCTTCCTCTGTACGCCTTGTATATACAGCTGTTGTACTGTTTAGTGTTTGTATCACAGTGACTTAGTTCCATGTGTTTTCCCCCCCATAGTCTGTGAACTTCTTCATGGTAGGAGCCATGTTATTTTGATGTGCTTGGCAATTGAAAGTTCATTCAGTATGCCTTTGTTGAATGAGTGAATGAATGGCTTCACTGAACTGGGGGTTTGAACTTGACTGGGAAGGGTGGTGAGGATTTGGCTACAAAGTGTGAACAAAGGTAGCAGTGCATTGATATATTCAAGGAGCAGTCAAGACACCAGTGTGGCCTCATGAAGAATGATGAGTGTTAAGGTTAAGAGTGTAAGCTGGATTTTAAGTAACTTAGACTTAATACCTGGGTCAGAGTTTCTCAAACTTGGCACTATTGACATTTGGGGCAGGATAAGTCTTTGTTGTAAAGGGCTGTCCTGTTCACTGGAGGGTGTTTAGAAGCATCTCTGGCCTATCCACTAGATATCAGTAGCACCCCTCCCCCCCAATTGTGACAGCTCAAAACGTCTCCGGACATTGGGGTTGGGTTGTGGCACATGGTCTCTGGTTGAGAACCACTGCCCTAGGTCATGGGGAAGCATCAAAAGAATCTTGTTGGTGGCACAAGGTGGCCTGATGTAACCCCTATTTGAGGAGGATTAAGTTTTGGAAATGAGAGACATATTTGGAGTGAGGAGAAAGTGTACATAGACCTACTAGAAAATTATTAGGCTATTTTGGTTATAGGTTAGAGTTCTGAAAAAGGGCGATGGCTGTAAGGATAGAAGAGAGAGGGCAAAAGGAAGGAAAAACCTGAAGGATAGACCATGGGTTCCCTGAGCTCAGTTTCTTGCCTTATGCATCCGACTGAAGAGAGGCTGCCCGGAAATCTCAGAGGTCACTGTTGAGATGATTCAAATATAGATGAGAAAAGCCTGAAAAGGGATGCTGAGAGTAAGGATGGCAACATAGAGCAAGAGTAAGGGAGGCTATGAAAGATAAATGCTGAGTTCCTTAGTACAGAGACTTGTTTTACCCGTGTCTGCATTTCCCAGGGCACTAAATATTGAATTGGTGAGGAAGGTGCTCAGTGAGGTTTTTTTGGTTGGCCAGTTGACTAAATGAGTGAGTGAATGAATGAGTGAATAAATGAATTCGGAGAGAAGGGAAGTAAGAAGAAAGACATTTTACATATTTAGCTGCTTGTATCATTTCTATGTATACACGGACATATTTCTTCTTTTTGATGTCAAGATACTGATCAGTAGAGATGAATGTTAGCACTTTGAAGAAATGTATTGTGAGATGTTAGAATGCAGAACTGCCTCAGCTTATGGATGGTGCTAGTGTAAAGCCAATTATATATAGAAACACACTTTACTGAATCCCACATAACTTCTCGCCACAAAGTAATGGCCCACTTGCCTCTGTAAAACACACGAACTTGGGGGCTGGTAGGCCCATCTCCATTACCTCCAAACATGCCTGCTCCTCGCCCCGCTTGAGTGTTGGTTTACCAAGAATCTGTTGTCTTTATTCCAAAACCTGTTGATTCCAGTTATACTTATCTTCAATGGAGCATTTAATATTAAATGAACTAAAAGAATCTGAGTGCCAAAATAGAGATGTGGCTAAAGTAACTGACAAAGTCCCCTATCCCCTGAAGCTTGTGTTTAAAGTGACCTTATATTCTAGTGAATGTAGTTTTCATTACTTAATTTTTTGTTGTTTCACCTTTGCAAGTTATATCATATTTTGGTTTATTTTCATAACTAATAATGACTTATTTTAGTGTTTGCATGCCATGGAGATCCAAGTCATGATACAGTTTCTACCTGTAATTCTTATGCAACTCTTCCGAGTCCTCACAAATATGACCCATGAAGATGACGTGCCTATCAACTGCACCATGTGAGTTTCAGTGCCATAATACCAAGAAGCAACTTTTGTTTCCTTTTGCATTTCTTCATTTGAAATATAAATTTATCTTCCAAATGAGAACCCCAAAGTCAGAAATCTAATATCAGTTTTCTCTAGTTTCATACTTCTCAGACTTATATCCCCAGGGACAGATGATACCAGAAACCATAGGATAAACTTCCTCAACCAGAAGTTCTAAAGCTGCTGCATATTAGAAGCTTTTAAACATGTCTGTTCCCAGACCATACTTCATACCAATTAAACCAGAATCTCTGAAGGTGGAACTCAGCATCAGTATTATTTTTTTAAGTTTCCCTGATGATTCCCTAATGCAAGGGAGTTTGAGAACCATTGCCCTTGACCAGTCTTGTCTAATAGAACTTTCTCCAGTCGTGGAAATGCTCTATACCTCTGCTTTCCAATATGGTGGCCATTAGCCACATTTAGCTGTTGAGCACTTGAAATGTGGCTAGTGTAACTGAGGAACTGAAGTGTTTTTTTTTTTTTTTTCTTTGCGGTACGCGGGCCTCTCACCGCTGCGGCCTCTCCCGTTGCGGAGCACAGGCTGCGGACGCGCAGGCCCAGCGGCCATGGCTCACGGGCCCAGCCGCTCCGCGACATGTGGGATCCTCCCAGACCAGGGCACGAACCCCGTGTCCCCTGCATCGGCAGGCGGACTCTCAACCACTGCACCACCAGGGAAGCCCAGGAACTGAAGTGTTAATCGTAGTTAATTTTAATTCATTTAATCGCCACTTGTGACTAGTGGCTCTCACATTGGACAGAGTTGCCCTAGGCTATCAAATTGTACTCGAAAGAAAAATGGAGTGTTCTTTTTATATGAAAACAAACAAGAATATATTGTAGAGTAGGATGCAAAATGCACCTGTATTTTGAAATTAAAACAGGAGTTTTCCAAAAAATTGTGAGCTCAGTGCTGGCTCTTTCTGGCTTTGCTGCTTCTGCTGTTGCCACTTCTGTTGAGCCTCTCTGGAGCCTCAGGGCTGAAGCTCCACACACCTCCATACTGTTTGCTCTTCTCTGCTGCTGGGCATAGTCTGGTTGCAAATTTAAAAAGCATTATTCTAGTCCAGTTGTTCTCAAAATGTGGTTCCCAGACCAGCAGCATCAATATCACCTAGGAGCTTATTAAAAATGCTAATCGGGCTTCCCTGGTGGCGCAGTGCTTGAGGGTCCGCCTGCCGATGCAGGAGACGCGGGTTCGTGCCCCGTTTCGGGAGGATCCCGCATGCCGCGGAGCGGCCGGGCCCGTGAGCCATGGCCGCTGGGCCTGCGTGTCCGGAGCCTGTGCTCCGCAACTGGGAGAGGCCACAACAGTGAGAGACCCGCATAACGCAAGAAAAAAAAAAAAAAAATGCTAATCATTGAACTTCACCCCAGACCTAAAAAATCAGAAAATCTGGGAGAGGGGTGAGCACTTTACCCTCCAGGTGTTTCTGAGGCACGCTAAAGTTGGAGAACCACTGCTGGTCTCATAATTTTAAAACTTTCTATGAATCTTAAGTTTACTTCCAATTTCAGTTCATATCATTATACCTGCTCTGTCTCTCCCTTCCCTTTTCCCCCATCTGTTGTCATGCTTAACATTTTTTTTTCTATTCTTTTCCTTTTATCCTCACTAGAGGGGATTTCAATATTTACCTTACTGAAGGTATTTTTTCTTTTTTTTTTTTTACTATATGGTAGTTATGACCATACTTCAAATGTGGTTTAGAAAGGAGATGAAATATTTGGGTTGCCAAAATAAAATATCCGTCTTTTGAACCAGGAAAGATATTTTACAAGACCCTGAGCATGTTAGATGCTGAAATCTCTGTTAGACCCAAACTAAGATGACATTTAATGCAGTCATCTCACCTTTAATTATTTAGGCAGTATTAGGTATTTTTAGGGTTAAGTATGATGGTTTTATCGGACAATCAAACTATAGTGGTTAATTGTAGCCTGACATGCTGACTTTTGTGAATGTTGTTTCAGGGTTCTCTTACATATCGTATCAAAGTGCCATGAAGAAGGCTTGGATGATTATTTAAGATCCTTCATAAAGGTTTGTGGAGTAAAGCTTTCTTTCTGAGCAGTTTGTCTTCTGAGAGAATTTTGTCTCACAACTCGTTTTCTTTAATTGTAGTATAGCTTCCGACCTGAAAAACCCAGTACTCCTCAGGCCCAGCTGATACATGAAACTCTGGCTACTACAATGATAGCGGTATTGAAACAGTCTGCAGACTTTTTAGCAATAAACAAACTGCTAAAGGTAAGGGCACAGGACACGGCAGGCAAGAAAAGCAGCCAGAGATATGCTTGTTTGATACCCTCCCATTTCACTTCTAGTCTTTCATCGTTTCCTCATGTGACTTTCATTTTCCTCACCACTTTACCTACACATCCTTTTCCCCCAAGTTCTCCACAGAACCTCCTTCATTCCCTTCACCCTTCCCACCCCATCCTGCCCACATTCGAATGTGTAATAGAAAGAATTTTGGAGGAGATAGACCTGGGCTAGAATCCTCTATTCACTGCATAATAGTTCTGTGACCTGGAGCCTGTTATTTAGCAATCCTGAGCCTCCACTTCCTCATTTCTAAAATATAAGCAAAGCATTTAACATGTTGTTTCTGGCACATAGTAGGCACTCAAATGGTGGCTCTTATTATTATCATGTTTTTACTATTCCTGTTAATAATGGTAGAATTTCAATTTTGGGTATTTTATCTGCTTGAGGCTTCTCAAATTACATTTACACAAACACCTCTGCTACTTGGGCTGGCCCCAGTGTTGTACCAAGGGCAAGGTTGGGTCCCCCACTGGGTGCAGGCCATAATACAATTCATTGTCTATAGAGAATTTAAAAGCAATACTAAAGTAAACTAAAAGTTGGTTTGCTCTTATCACCACATGTAGGCAAATCAAAGCAGTGTCAGTGATAAAACACCCCTCCCCACTGAGTTAAACATTCCCACCAAACAGCCTTTGTACATCACCAGCCAGCCCTAAGGTACACTACTACCTTTTTGCCACCACAATTTGAAGGTATCCTGTGGGACTTGGACAATTGCGATCACTTTAAAATGTTACTAAAGTTCAGAGACAAAATCCATAGTGATTCGTCAACCTCTGCTAAGCTTCAAGGATTTGCGTAACTATTAAAGATTGATTTGTATTTATTTGTTTATTTTAGTACTCATGGTTTTTCTTTGAAATTATTGCAAAGTCTATGGCCACATACTTGTTGGAAGAGAATAAAATTAAGGTAAGTAGGCTCAAGAATAATATTTAACATAGACAAAGAAGGCTAATCTTATTCACAGGTAGCTGTGACATGCAAATCCTCTTTTATATTTTAAGGGCTCTTAGCCCTTAACTTTTTCAATTTTGCTTAAAACAAGCAAACAAACAGTGGATGTATTGCAAAAATCTGACAGTTCATTTGTTTTCAAAGTCTATCGTCAGAGACTCTTCCATATAGATTGTTTCCTGTGAGGTATTTGCCATGTTAAATGCATTATATTTGAAGCTTTCCCTTTGTCTTGTGGTTTTAAAATGTCTATGTCAGGACATTCATTTGGAAGAAGAACAAGTACCAAATAAGAAAGAACCATTCTCTTAGAAAGGTCGAAGGCATGTACAAAGTTAAAAACACTTTATGTAATAATACATGTGTTCCTGGCATGTGCTGTATACATTTAGTCATATTTTTAAACTCTTTTGAAAGTACAAAGAAATTTTCTTAGCTATAGGAATTGAAAGCTAAGATTTGTGAAGTAAAAAATATTCACCTCATACTTATCATGTTTATCAGAATCTTCATAGAGCAGGTTTACTAAAATTGAGATGCACGGATACATGTATACTTTGTGTGTCAGGAAAAACATGGAATGAAAAATGGATGTGTCTGTATCTCAGGAACACGATTCCAAAGTTGGGTCAGAATGACCTACTCTTGTTCCTGATTTAAGTCAGTTATGGTATTAGATGTCCAGATAGTTCCTATAATGATCTAAAGTATACACTGAACTAGCCATGTCATTTTTAAGTTGGGAGAAAAATTAAACTCCAGTTAAAAACACGTTTTTATACAGAATGTGTCTGAAAATAAAAACAGCAATTGATTTAGACCTTTTGCAACTCTTTTTTCTATGCCTATTTAATTTAAGCTTCCCAGAGGCCAGAGATTTTCTGAGGCATATCATCATGTCTTACATTCATTGCTTCTTGCAATAATTCCTCACATGACTATTCGCTATGCAGAGATTCCTGATGAGTCCAGAAACGTCAATTATAGTTTGGCTAGCTTCCTGAAGGTGAGTTAAAGGCAGCCAGAACATGGTAAGGAATTATTCTTCACCAATATGGTCTTTAAAGCCAAAGGAAAAAAAAATTACCTACTTTCTAGAGACTCAGCTAGGCTGCTGGAGAAACTTTTGACTGAATTAATCCATCAATTCAGTTAAACAGCCATGTTTGATCCCCCACCCCCAATGGTTAATTAATTAAATCAGAGGTCCCACATAGGTGTCTTAACCAGAAGGCACGTCTTGCTGGTTTTACATGGTGTTTCTCAGAAATATTAATTTGAATGCCTTTAGGTGGGGCATGTACTTTCTATGTTGCCACAAACCCCACCACTCCTTAATATACCCCGACACTCTTTATACATTTAAATAGCTTCTCTGTTGGCCTCTGAGTTTGTAACGCTTGAACTAAAGGCACAGTCTCCACATTGCTAATATAATCACCATCTACTTGTTGCTAATACATGTAAATGAAAATTGTTGATTTTGGTCAGTGAGACTATTTTGAGAGATATCAGAAACTCCTATATTTATGAAAGATAGCACATTTCTCATTGTTGTATTTTGTTATTCTCTGTATGTAAGGGGCAATGCTGGAATGCGATTGTTCTAGAAAGTGGGTAATAATAATATTTGATTTGCTGCAGAGAAGGGGCATGGATTTGTAAGGCACTTAGTTTTTACTTCTCTCCACTCCCCATCTTCTCACAGCCTTTCATCATGTCTCAACCTTATCTTAAGAACTTCATAGTCAATAATCCACCCAAGCAGTTTTAGTACCTCACATACCCTTGTTTTCTTATTAAAAATTCACAACTAGGTTTCAGATCTCCAGAGCATGATTTTCTGATGTTAGACCTCTGTTTACCAGAATTAAAACAAAGTTTTAACACTATTACATGAGCCCTTTTGTGTATTAAAAACCAAACATCCACATATCTTTTTAAAGTAAAGATGAGACTATTTGAAATATAAAATCTCCGTTTCTTCCATGGAGTTTAAACTTAAAGTTTGCTATGTAAACAGAATAGAACATAGTCGATTTAATAGCAGTATTTACCTCATTCAAGTCAACAAACATTTGTCTGTCTTCTATGTGAGAATCCAAAGATGTGAGAGGCTATCTCTGTAATTATATTCAAATACATGTACAAGATCAAGTGTGATGACTGCTATACTGAAAATACAAACAAAATACAATCGGAAAACAAGAAAGGGAGGGATTAGGACCAGGTAGTATGAACAGAAACTAGAAGAATAGTTCCCCAAGACAGGGTTATGGGTGTTTCAGGTAGAGGATTCATGAACAAAGATGAGATATATGCATTCAAGAATTGTTCGGGGAGGAGCAAGAAAGTCATTGTGCAGAATTTAGGATGTGTGCAGGTAGAGCTGGAAAGACCATCTGATGTCAGATGATGAAAGGCCTTGAATGTCAGGCTTAGGGACTTAGATTTGGAGCTATGTGCCATGGAGCTATCTATATACCAAAGATTTTGGAAGGGGTGAAAAAGCCAGAGTCAAGGCAACCAGTTAGAAGACCAGTCTTTCCCCCTTGTCTGCCTGGCAGAGTCCATTCATCTTTTAGGCTCAACTCTTTCCTAACCTTCCCACACAGGGCTGATCACCCCTTCTGTTGTTTACCCGTCCTTTACATACTTGTATAACTTTTTATTGTGCTGTATTTTAATTATTTGTTTGTTTATTTGTCTTTACCATTAGACAAGACTAAAGGCCATATCTTATTCACCTTTGTATTTCTCTAGAATGTAATGCATTTTTTCAAACACAGTAGATCCTCAAAATGTTTTTGGATGAACAGATAAATGTAAGTCTACCTCATTAACCCAGGGGAGAGGTGATGAGGCAGTGGAAGTTGAAAGGAGAGATGAGAAGTGAGATGCAAATGGCTGATTAATCAAATATTGAGTTCCTTCTATTTCACAGGGTTACTGTAGGTACCATGGAGAACATAAGAAAAAGAGATCGTTCCTATTGTCCTCTCTAGGTGAAAACAGGAAAATAATAAGGAAAATACAAGCTAGTATAAAGTGTTTAAAGGGCCCTGTAGACCAAGGTGGTTAATGAAAATGGGCTTCATCATTGAAGAGTGGGCAGGATTATGTAGAAGCAGTGATAGAATTGCTAGCTAGACCTGGCATGAGCAGAGACCCAGAGGTGGGAGTGCACAGTGCATCTTGAGTGGGTAATAAGTAGGTGAGCTGTATTGGGAGATAAAACTGGAAAAGTAGGTTGGGACAAGATTGTGAGTGCCCTTGAATGCCAAGCTAAGGAGTTTGAAATTATATTAGAGGCAATAGGGAACGGTTGAAAGCTTTTGGGAAGAAAGGTGACATGATTAGGGCTAGGACTTAGAGATTAATCTGGAAGCAGTTGGATGGAGAGATTAGTGGCAGGAAGACAGGTTTGGAGGATAACTGCAGTTGTGCAGTTGCAAGGTAATGAAAGCCTTAACCAGGAGAGTGATAGCAGGAACATATGAACAACTAGTAGGGTTGTCACAGAGGAAGAATATTTTGTAGGCCAAGACTTCACAGGACCCAAAGAAAAACTTCACTTTTGGCCTGAAATGTTCACGTAGGCAAGCCCCATTAACCACCCTCCAGTTCACTTTGAGCTTTGAGAGTTAACCAAAATGAGGCAGTATAGCTAATAGATTACATATCAGTATATATGCATATATATGTTTATATACATATATGTGTATATATATGTATACATGTATTTGTGTGTGTATATATATCTTAGTTTGAAAATTATACAGTTGAGTCCCAATTCCAATGATAAGTCATTTGCCCTTTATCTCTCTCTTTTTTAAAAAAATAAATTTATTTATTTATTTATTTTTGACTACATTGGGTCTTCATTGCTGCGCTCAGGCTCTCTCTAGTTGCGGTGTGCATGCTTCTCATTGCGGTGGCTTCTCGTTGTGGAGCACGGGCTCTAGGCATGCAGGCTTCAGTAATTGTGGCACACTGGCTCAGTAATTGTGACTTTCGGGCTCTAGAGTGCAGGCTCAGTAGTTGTGGTACACGGGCTTAGTTGCTCTGCAGCATGTGGGATCTTCCCGGACCAGGGATAGAACCCGTGTCCCCTGCATTGGCAGGCAGATTCTTAACCATTGTGCCACCAGGGAAGTCCCCCTTTATCTCTTTAAGGTCACCTAAATCTCTGAAAGTTTTTCTATTATCTGTAAAAGTGAAAATGTCATCCCCTTAATGTGGAAACAATTTAAAAGTTTTTGAATTTTAAAAACTTGACAGACCTTTAGAATTATGTAACTAACTGTTCATTTTGATTTGGTTTCTGTAGCGCTGTCTGACACTAATGGATAGAGGATTTGTTTTCAATTTGATAAATGACTATATATCTGGATTCAGCCCCAAAGATCCTAAGGTAAGTTATAAGGACATAACTGCAGTGGGTGTCAGACATTAGAGTGTGAGAACAATGGTGACATTCTCCTCTGAAGGATTTGGAACTGCTGTTTTCATTTAGGTGCTTTGACTAGAGTTATACCTCAAAGCAGGGAATAATGGATAGTGTTTTGGGGGTCCCCACTACTACCCCGTGTTTGATGGTTCACTAGAATGAATCACAGGACGTACTCATGGCTAAGATTCATTACAGTGACACAAAAAGGATGCTCAGTTGGATCAATAAGGGGAAAAGACATCAAGTGGAGTCCTTGGCAATCTACATGTAGGCTTCCTGAGTGCCCTCCCTCCTGTGAAGGGTCACATAGAGCACATCATCTCTCCAGCAGTGAAAATTGAGCCACATGTGTGCAACATTTCTCTTTAGGGAAGCCCATTTGAGACTCAGGGTCTAGGGGTTTTGTTGGGGACTAGTTATGTATTTGAGGCTGGTCAAAATTTCCAGAGTCTTGGAAAGGACAGGAAAGCAGATGTTCACCATAAATCACATAGTTTGCACACTGCTGAACAGGTTGGCACAGAAGGCACAGTCTTATCATGTAGGAAATGTTTGTTTCAAGATCTAATTTCCCACACCACAAAACAGAAAATCACAGGCCAATATCTTTGATGAACATAGATGCAAAAATCCTCAACAAAATATTAGCAAACTGAATTCAACAATACATTAAAAGTGTCATACAACATGATCAAGTGGGATTTATTCCAGGGATACAAGGATGGGTCAACATCCACAAATCAGTCAACCCGATTCATCACATTAATAAAATGAAGGATAAGAATCATATGGTCATCTCAATAGATGCAGAAGAAGCATTTGCTAAAATTCAACATCCATTTATGATAAAAACTCTCAACAGTGGGTATAGAGGGAACATACCTTAACATAATAAAGTCCATATATGACAAACCCATAGCTAACATCATACTCAACAGTGAAAAACTGAAAGCTTTTCCTCTAAGATCAGGAACAAGGGGCTTCCCTGGTGGCACAGTAGTTAAGAATCTGCCTGCCAATGCAGGGGACATGGGTTCAATCCCTGGCCCAGGAAGATTCCACATGCCATGGAGCAACTAAGCCCATGTGCCACGACTACTGAGCCTGCACTCTAGAGCCCATGAGCCACAACTACTGAGCGCACGTGCCACAACTACTGAAGCCCGTGTGCCTAGAGCCCGTGCTCCACAGCGAGAAGCCACCACAATGAGAAGCCCGTGCACCACAATGAAGAGTAGCGCCTGCTCGCTGCAACTAGAGAAAGCCCACGTGCAGCAACAAAGATCCAACACAGCCAAAAAAAAAAAAAGATCAGGAACAAGACAAGGATGCCCACAGAAATTAGGTGAGAAAAAGAAATAAAAGGCATCCAAATTGGAAAGGAAGAAGTAAAACTGTTGCTATTTGCAGATGACATGATAATACATACAGAAAACCCTAAAGACTACACCAAAACTCTGTTAGAACTAATAAATGAATTCAGTAATGTTGTATGATACAAAATCAACATACAGAAATCTGTGGTATTTCTATACACTAATAACAAACTATCAGCGAAATTAAGAAAACAATCCCACTTACAATTGCATCAAAAAGAATAAAATACCTAGGAATAAATTTAGCCAAGGAGGTGAAAGACCTGTACACTGAAAACTATAAGACACTGATGAAAGAAGCTGAAGAAGCCACAAATAAATGAAAATATTCCATAATCATGGATTGGAAAAATTAATATTGTTAAAATGTTCATACAACCCAAAGCAATCTACAGATTCAGTGTATTCCCTATCAAAATTCCAGTGGTATATTTCACAGAACCAGAACAAATAATTCTAAAATTTTGCATAAAACCACAAAAGATCCTGAATAGCCAAAACAATCTGAGAAAGAACAGAACTGGAGGTACCATGCTCCCTGATTTCAAACTATACTACAAAGCTATCATAATCAAAACAGTATGGGACTGGCATAAAAACAGATACACAGATGAGCAGAACAAAACTGAGAGCCCAGAAATAAACCCATACATATATGAACAATTAAGTTACAACAAAGGAGGAAAGCACATACAATGGAGAAAAGACAGTCTCTTCAATGAAAGGTGTTGGGAAAACTAGACATCCACATGTAAAAGAATGAAACTAGACTGCTCTCTTACATCATAACACAAAAATTAACTCAAAATGGAGTAAAGACTTGAATGTAAGACCTGAAATCATAAAATTCCTAGAAGAAGACATAGGCAGTAACCTTATTGACATCCATCTTAGTGATGTTGTTGTGGATCTGACTCCAAAGGCAAAGGAAACAAAAGCAAAAATAAGCAAATGGGACTGCATCAAACTAAAAAGCTTTTACACAGTGATGGAAACCATCATCAAAATGAAAAGGCAGCCTACTGAATGGGAGAAGATATTTGCAAATCATATATCCATCAAGGGGTTAATATCCAAAATATATAATGAACTAATACAATTCAACAACAACAAAAATAATCTGATTTAAAAATGGGCAGAGGATCTGAATAGACATTTTTCTAAAGAAGACATACAGATGGCCAACAGCACATGGAAAGATGTTCAGCATCACTAATTGGGAAACACAGATCAAAACCACAATGAGACATCACCTCATAGTCTGTTAGAATGGCTATTATTGAAAAGACAAGAAATAACGAATGTTAGAGAGGATGTGGAGAAATGGGAACCCTTGTACACTGTTTGTGGGACTGTGAATTGGTGTAGCCACTGTGGAAAACAGTATGGAGATTCCTCAAAAAATTAGGAATAGAACTACCATAATATGACCCAACTTTTCCACTCCTGGGTATCTATCCAAAGAACATTAAAACGCTAATTCAAAATGATATGTGCCCCAATGTTCACTGTGGCATCATTTACAGTAGCCAAGATATGGAAATAACCTAAATGTCCATCAATGGATGAATGGATAAAGAAGATGTGGTATATATGTGTGTAAGTGTGTGTGTGTCTTTGTATGTGTATATATATAAAATGGAATACTACTCAAACATAAAAAGGAATGAAATCCTGCCATTTTACAATGTGGATGGACCTTAAAAGTATTATGCTAAGTGAAATAAGTCAGATGGAAAGACAAATACCATATGATTTTGCTCACATGTGGAATCTAAAAAGAGAAATGAACAAAACCCAAAACAAACTCATAGATACAGGGAACAGATTAGTGATTACCAGAGGGGAAGAGGTTGGGGGTGGGCAGAATGGTGAAGGGGGTGTGAACTGTATGCTGATGGATGGCACCTAGACTTGTGGTGATGATCACTTTGTAGTGTATACAGATGTCAAATTATAATGTTGTATACCTGAAACTTATATAATTAAAAAAAATCCAATTTCCCAAATGCCAGCCAATGACCAACCGTGCAAGCAGGCCTTTTTAAGGTGAGCAGTCTTAGACCTGCTGTGTTAACTCTTTACTGCACAGGTCACATTTTAAGGTATGCCTAAAATACTAAACACTTCTGTTTTGAAAATTAATGCACTATATTTAATTACTAAAATAGTAAATGACTACTAAATAGGAGTTCTTGTACAATTTCTTTGTGTTTAGGTCCTGGCTGAATACAAGTTTGAATTTCTGCAAACAGTTTGCAATCACGAACATTACATTCCTCTGAATTTGCCAATGGCATTTGCAAAACCTAAACTTCAGCGAGTTCAAAGTATGTATTTGTGTTTTCCATCATTAGGGATTGTGTTTTCCTGTTTTTGGCTAGCGCTAGTATAGTATAACGTTTTCTAGTTAAACCAGTCAGTCTAAAGGTAATATCAGAATTGTTACTATCTGAAGATAGGTTTGTTAATGGTACTCGGCATTTCCTTCATAGTGTCAGTGGTAGTATTCATAGAATGAAGAAATTAGGTGTGTTACATAGATTGCTGCTTAAACACAGATGTCAGATACCAGTTATTGCTCTCTGTAGTACTGTTTGGACTCTTATGTGAGACTGAATTAAGAAAAAAACATATAAATACATTTCTGCTGATTGGAACATCAAAAGAGAAGTATAAAGACAGAGTAAAATAGTGATATGTATGTATTAAATTGATGAAATGCCTTCAGTTATCTCCATTGCTAGTTTTATTGAATGCTTTGTTGTGTAGCACTATTCTTATGTTACTATGTTTTTTATTTGTCCCTTTTCTTTTCATATATTAATTAGATTTGTTTTCATTTGCGGTGGACTGTTTGACTTCAGTAGGTAGGTTTAACTCTGTTCACTCTAAAGTAGTTTGCTGTCTTTAAAAACAATTGATTTCATGAATGGCTAAGATGGATGGGGGCTTTCTTTGCTTTCTAAATCCTCCCTAGCCAAGATGAGGCTTTAGTTAATGTACCCAGAAAACCTAGGAGGTGGTGTATTTGTTAACTCTTAAAATCAGCTTGAGTGTTGATTGCTAGAAGAATCAACTTTAAAACACCGTCCTCAGAAAACAAGTTTTGGCTCAAGCCAGCATGGGGGCTAGAGGGTAGCTGTTCTTTAAGTGTGTCTCATCTCTACCAGGCTTGCCTCCCTTCTCTCTGACCCTGCTTAATGACTGCTTGGCCACAGTTTTGGAGGTTGGCTGAAACTACCTGATTTGATTTATTCAAACCCCTGAAGTAAAAAACCTTACTACCATTGTAAAGTCGACCCAGATAAGGCCACCTGGGTTAGTCCGTACTGGTTCTTGTGCATAGAAAGTGGTTGTGATTCACAAAAGAGCATGACCAATGGCAGAAAGAATATCAGCTACCTTGGTCTCTAGGAGGGTAGCTGCTGAGCACCAGTTTCAGTGCTTGAATGCCAGCCAGTGAAAATGGAGAAAAAATATTTAAAAACCCAAGCACCCCTATTCAACTGCTCCCTTATTAGATTCTGAGCATCTATAGCTCTGATACTTCCCCCAGTATTTATTGATGGCTTGAGGAATTCAGGGAAAAGAAGGGATGAGGATTTAGGATTAAATCTGATTTAGGATTTATTAAGTCCTAACTGAATATATAGCATTATATTAAGTGCTGAAGAGGCCAGAAAAGAAATGGAAAACATATCCTTCAGCTTTATGGCCTAACTAAAATTAAAGGGTATGGGAGAGGAGATAAAGATAGTAGAAATTTACCATAGAAATTACTAAACTTGGTCACAGTCCCTTCTGATTGTGACCCAATCAGTTTATAAGGCAAGTCCCAACCAGGATATTAGCAGCTGGGATTTAAAATGGACTGAGGATCTAAAAGGAAGTGAAAGAAATAGTTCGAAGCAGTAATTTTATGAAATAAAAGATTTGTATTTGTGTGATGAATTTGAGTGAGATGAGGCTGTTTTTCTTATTGTTCTTGTACCCCATTGTATTGGGGCCAATATATAACATTTACTAAAACAGTCAATAGTTAATACTGTTACAGTGATTCAGTTGTCTAGTTTCTCTTCCTTTTCCTACTTTACAAATATAAACAGATAAGTGAATCAAGTATTGCTGTAGAGAATTACTCCAATTTGTAGTTGTAACTAAATCTCTTCAGCTATGAAGAAATGTGTTAAAACATTGCCAAATACAGTATTCTTTCATTCTAGATTTTATCCTAAGATTTCTAAGATTTGAAAAGCATCTCGAAAAACAAAGAATTCTAGGGACTATCTTACCGACTGAAATTATCATTAAGGCTATCATCTAGCCCCAATGATGGGTGCTCGTATCTTGTAAAATTTTGCATGCTTATTCTATATGATAAAAGAATTGTTCATATTTGTTAATAATAACAATATAGTTCTTGCTATCATGGTCACATATGACTAAGTAATAAATATAGTGCTTTAATGTTAAAGTAATTTTTGAATATTTTTATAAATGGGTTTTAAATTTCATTATACTGCAGATTCAAATCTTGAATACAGTTTATCAGATGAGTACTGCAAGCATCACTTCTTGGTTGGTCTACTTCTGAGGGAAACCTCCATTGCTCTTCAAGACAATTATGATATCAGATATACAGCTATCTCTGTCATAAAGAATCTTTTGATAAAACATGCATTTGACACTAGATACCAGCACAAGGTAAGGATGTTTGTATCATCATCAGTATCACATTAGTTACTTTCTAAGAAGATTTTATGTTCAAGGTGAAGTTTTCAGTAAGGAACATAACAGGAGGACTGATGAAGTTATTTTTACAAATACGTTTTGTTTCTGTTTCAAATGATTAGGTTTTAAAAATACTGTTCAGATAACTGTTGAAGAAGAGCACTGGTTTTTCAAATCATGTCTAAAGAACAGCACAACTGCTTCATGATTTGTTACATAAACTAGATTTTTTTAAAAAAAATCTTATACGATTATAGCCATGTGCACTCTTTCAAATACACACCTTAACATATATCCTTAAATATATCTCCCTAAATAAATGCTATTATTGATTATTAAGTGATTAATAGTGACACATTAAGTATGTCCAATATATAAAAGATGTAATATGAAGTTTTTCTTCTTACTGAAAAAATGTAGGTGTGGCTGTAAACCTTCCATACATTACACACTGTCTATGTGTGAAGGCCACAGCTGCAGTTGCTTTTTGCCGCACCTTTAACTTAATATATGGCGATGGAGGGTATATTCAAATCTTATTAACATTATACCCTATGGGCTTCAAAAAGTAGATGGCAAACTGTATGGATTTAGAATAACCTAACTTACTTACCTGGCTCAAGGTAACATATTATTTCATAGTTAAGAATTTGTCCCTTTGTTTTACATTCAAATTTAAATAAAATTATCATGTCATTTATTATTATAATTACTTTGGAAAGCTGACTTGGAGATGGATTTTCTTCTTTTTCTACAGTATTCCCATTTGTCCTTAAAAAACAGAAAATGCCTGCCAGCTACATCCAATTATATTTCTTTAATTATGAAGATTTGTTTTACTTACAAATTTTGCTAGTTTTCTTCATATAATTCTATCCTAAAGTAGATTTAAACTCTTTAGCTTTCAGATGTTATTACTTACTGCAGTTTGCATTGTTTTTTCCACATTATAGTTATAATAACATACTCCCATTTAGTGTGGTTTGCTCTATTATGTGCCACTTTTTCTGTGCGTGTGAATGTTGATATTGACTTAAAAGTAAGTTTACTGGTATAATATATCTAAATGAAAAGATATCTTAAAGTCATCCATTCCAACCAAGCTTTGTCAAAGCTTTAAAAATGCCAGTTACCACTGGGCTCTGTTTGTACCTAGTAGTAGCGGAGGAAAATGTCTAGCCATGATTTCAAAGAATTTGTGGGAAAAGTAGAAAATGAAGTTCCTGTTCTTAAAGCAGGAAGTTGTATTTTTTCCCCTGCCTCCTTAGATGCAAGTGAAGGAATATCAGATTTCACTAGTGTCTTACCTAGAGGTAGAATTTTAAATATTTTATATCACATATTTGCACATTATTTACTTTTTAAAATTCTGAGAGCAGTATATGTACTCACATGCACACACACACACATCACTGTTGTTATCTGTAAATAACACTCTGCCTCTTTGAGTGTTTGAGGTTTTAGACTATGGGAAAGATTGAGATGCCAGCCTCATTACCCTTTCAGTAATTTCTAAAGCCCTTTCTTTGTTCAAAATCTTCTGACAGGTTTTAAGTGTGTATAGGATTCTCCCCAGTAAAACTTTGCTTCATGGACCTGCTTCATTCCCTTTCTCTGTTTGGTCCAAAGACTTCACAGGTGGCCTGAGTAAGAGGTCATTTGTCAAATATTGATACATTCACTTAAAACATGTTCACCATTAATGATGATGCCAAGGTGAGGGCAGAGAGGGGAGCTTTAAGCCCCTATAATTTCCATTGGGTCCCCCAAAGTGACCCCAAATAAAAATACAGTCAAGAGAAAAATTCTTCCTGTGGAAAGGCTGCTTTGAGACTAGTTCTCCTAGTCACCGCCACCCCCCATTCCAACCATGTTGCCTTCCTCAGCCTCTCCTCTAATGAAATTATGGAGGTGTCACTGGTCCCTATTATGTGCTACTCAAAAACTGCTTTGGGAGCCCTCCTAATACCATGAGACATCTTTCCTACTCAGAACAAGAATATCCAACATCTAACATTTATTCTGGGGTCTGTATTAGTTCCTGTACCCACTGCAAGTGATGTTGACTCCTAAGAATTGCAATTTCTGCTTGGACTGTGGGCAGATATTTTTTTCCTTTTTTTTTTTTACGGTAATCTTACACACATGTTAAAAAAAAGAATCAAAATGCCTCTCTCCCATTCCTTACCTCCATGCCTCAATTCATCTCTCCAGAAGCAACTACTATTATCAGTTTCTTATATAAACTTCTATTTTATGCATGCACAAGCCAATATGCTCTATATATGTATATATATAAATATATAATAGAAACCATTATGCATTTTTCTTTTGTCATTTAACAATATAGCCTGGAGATTTGATCTACTGTATTTATTTTAAATCTGCATAGTATTCCATCATATGGATATACCTTATTCTATTTATCTAAACTGTCTTCTGTTAATAGATTCTTAGATGGTTTTCTGTCTTTTGTGCAGACAAAACTTTTAATATATTTGCCCTGACTGCATGCTTTCCTATGTTCCTGTTCACCTGAGAAAGGTGTAGTATCTCCTTCCCTAGTGATCACTCACTATCAGAACTAAAATGAATTCCCATCTAGAAGCTATAATATTAATAATAGTAGCTAAAATTTATTGAGGACTCACTATATGCCAGGCACTGTATTAAACATTAGCCTACATGTATTAATGTCACTATTATTATCCCCATCTTACTAAAGAGAAAACTGTGGTTGTGACTTGATCATAATCAAGTAACTAGTAACAGGAGAGCTGAATTCATGTGTCTAAAATTCAAAATCTGTGCTTTTAACCACTAGACTATACTGCCTCTCAAATCTTAAGTGGGACCCTGGAAAATTAGAGAACTGCCAAGAAAGGGTGATGATGATGGTGGAAACTCTTGAAATCAAATCCATGTGAAGAATAAAGGAAAGTACTAACAGCTATTTAGCCTTGTGAAGAATGAATTAAGACAATTTGTGGTAATTGTCTCCAAATATTTAAAGGGTTGCCATGTAAAGTGGAAGTGGGCTATAACTAGCAGGTAGAACTTAACTGCTAAAGGATTTTTCTAACAGAACCTCTGAAAGGGCTGGAGTGTTTAAAAACTAACCATCTGTCAAGGATGCAGGTAAGGGCTGTTCCTGCCTTGAGCAGGAAATTGAACTAGATCAGTGGTTCTCATACCTCAGTGCACATCAGCACCATCTGGGGCAGATTCTTGGGACCCAGCCCAGACCTACTGAACCAGAATCTCCTAGTGATAGAGACTATTACTGATTAGGGTTGTGTATTAGAAGTAGGTCTGTTAAGAGTTCCTGAGACTCATAAAAGAGGAAGTACAGATGGACAATTAACATATGAAAAATTGTTCAATTTCAAGAATAAATGGAACTATGAGACACTATTGATCTGTATTCTATAGGTTAACCATTGTACCCTAGAGGCCTTATCTAAGTCTACAGACAAACCTCCCAAAGTCCTAAAGGTTGGAGGGCAACTCTTGTGCCATCACAACCACTGGTTTGGCTGATTTGAATGTATGTACATATCTGGTGAGGAATGTCTATAGCTGAGAAAAGCAATAAATAAATTTGTATAAGAGGTACCACATTCATTAAGATGACCAGTGGCCAGCTTCACTTGCATATTTACAAATATATCAATCTCCCAAGTTGTATAATTGATTTAGGGGGCCAAGATCACATTATTTTAATTGCAGCTTTACTCAAAGCAAAGACATATTTCTTGAATGAATACAGTAATTCACCATTTTTTTTACTTCTTCCATCTATTCATTCATTCAGCTAATGTATATTGACTATATCCTATGTGCCCAGGCACTGGGGATGAAGCAGTGAACAAGACAGACAGGATCCCTGCTTTCATCAAACTCAACCCTCGCTGGAGTTAAAGAGCAGGACTAATATGATCTGCTATTAAAAAAAAATAAACTTTTGCCTATTATGTAGTGATGTTTCAGGGATGTGCTTCGACTCTATATTGTATATAAATTCAAATACCAACAAAGTGGTGTGGCAGTTAGTTTTGAGACTATGAGTATAAATAGACTCATGCTTCACTAATTTGTTATGGATATTAGCTTGCTTTTAGTGTTTAAACGGATAGATGGAGGCAACTTTATTTGTAATATAGGCATATTATATATCTATTAAGCTTTTAATAATTATTTTTCAGAACCAACAAGCCAAAATAGCACAATTGTACCTCCCATTTGTTGGACTGCTTTTGGAAAATATACAGCGATTAGCAGGTCGAGATACCTTGTATTCTTGTGCAGCCATGCCTAATTCTGTAAGTAGTAATGTGTTTCTATTGGCATTTTATCCTGTTTTATTGACTGTATTCGGAATTAGGGTCATACGCTGTATGGTCTCAATAGTGCACCTTTTACAACATTTTAAATTTATACTTTTTCCTGGAGCAGTGCTTCTCAAATCTTAATGTGCATATGGATCACCTGGGGAATGAAGACAGAGATTCTAATGTAGTAGCCCTGGGGTGGAGCTTGAGATTATGCGTTTCAAACAGGCTCTTGGCTTTTTCTCATCTAAGGACCATACTTTGAGTAATGAGGTCCAAGAGAACACCAAGAATCCTCTGTGCTCAGTGTTTTCTTTTTAATATTTGCTGCTGTTACATGCCTTCATATATTTATTCAACCGGAAAACGGAACAAAACATTCACTTTGCAATATATTAGGCACCAGGGATTAAACTGTATTCCTTTGCTTCTCCCTCTCTTTGACAGCCTCCTTTCAGCACTTCCTGGTGAGTGGCTTTTAACTCATCACAGTTGGTCTGTGCTTTTTTCTCCCCTTAGAATCTTAGAGTTGAAAGGAACTTTGGAGATGATCAGTCTTCCACTTGGCAAAACAACATTTTTCCATAGTAGTAATTAAAACTTTCCTTCTCACATTAGATCTACAAGATTTTCTATCCACTGGTCCTAGTTTTGCCTTCTAGTGATACATAGAACACATCCATTTCTACCTCCACGTGATACCCCTTCACACATGTCCCTTCTAATTTTTTCTTCAGGCCAGATATCTCCACTTCATCATTTGTTGTTTCAAACCCTTTACATTTCTTGGTTGGAGACTTCTGGACATGCTCCATTTTACCAATTGCCATTTTAAAATGTGGTGTATACTTTACAGTCTGTCCAGTGGGACTAATAACTCCTGCCCCCCCCCCCCCCCCCCCCCTTGGGACTAATAACTCCTGCCCCACCCCCACTCCACGTTCTGTCTGGCCCAAGATCACCTTCACATGTTCAGTAGCCAAGTCACATTGTTGGGTGGTAGGTGAAACTGTGTCCTTTACAGCTTCCTTTGGAAATTCCCCATAATAAATGTCTGTAGATTTGTCAAGCATACCCTGGGTTCCTGAGAAAGCTGCTTTTAAGCCTCACTTGATTGCCTGTACCTCCCAATTACGTAAATCAGCTAAATGTGGACGCTATATCACCTACCTGGGTATCAAGCAAGTCTTTCTTTACAAACACAGTTACTCATGCTTATGCTTACTCCACAACATTTGACAGTGATATTTGGAAATATTTTACTTACCTCTTCTTTCTTTTGCAATTCAAGATCATATAGGGCCTCTGGTCACACCTCTCCTTCTAGTATTGCCCTTGCTTCAAGGAGGAGAATGGAATCAAGTTTAGATCACACCAGTTGCAGCTTTTACCAGCCACCTAGAGTTGGGTCACTTTGCCAGAGGTCATGGTTGTAACAGTGTACCAGGATCCTTTTTTTTTGTGGTACGCAGGCCTCTCACTGCTGTGGCCTCTCCCGTTGTGGAGCACAGGCTCTGGACGCGCAGGCTCAGCAGCCATGGCTCACGGTACCAGCGCCACCAGGGAAGCCCCCAGGATCCATTTTTAAAAGAGTCCCCTAAATACCAATACTGATATGTGATTTAGACTTTCACAGTGAGCTTTGTTTAAAATTAGGGTACCATCTCATTGTTAATTCCGATTTCTTATCCTAGTGTACAAATGTATTTAAATGACAGAGGTATCACACTGTGTTACAGGCATCCAGAGATGAGTTTGCATGTGGCTTCGCTTCACCTACAAGTAGAGGGAGTCTGAGCACTGACAAAGACACCAGTTATTAGAAGTCCTTTAAAGATTATACGTGGCATGGCTGTTTAGAAATGTACCCTATACTTCTCTGTATTTTTGAAATATTTCATAATAAAAACTATACATAGCACAATCTCTACTAAAGTTTAATTAAAATCTTACACTTGCAGCCACATTTCTTTGCTTGGGTTTCCTTGTCTCAGCTTGTATAAAATTTAGCTTAGTATACTAAGAAAATAAAGGATAATGAGAAAAACACTGGTTTCCAATCATCTGTCTCCAATCCTGGACAAGACACTTCCTTTTTCTGGGCCAAACTTTCCTTATCTATAAAATTATCTAGTTGTTTGCCTTTATTTTATGACTTGCAAGGAATTTCTTGTAGTTTCATACATGTTAAAGTGTTTCAAGGAAAAAAAATTGCTTACCCTTTATTTGGCTTCTTATGGCGTTTTGATGTAATATATAAACTTCACATTTTAGATGACCAAGATCTATTTCCTAAAATATATCTTTACTTAAATTAACCCAGTGCTTAGTTTAAAAAATATTTTTGACTGTTCCTCCTGTTGCTAACAAGGACTTTTTTCCAGCTTATGGGTCTTTTCAAAATGGACATGGAATTAAGAGGGAAGATTCGAGAGGTTCCCTCATCCCAGAAGGAGCAACAGGATTTCCAGATCAGGGCAGCACTGGTGAAAATGTAAGAACCTAAATATATAGGATAACCCTAGTGATGTGTTAAGCTACAGCAGTCTTTCTTTTTATGCAAATAGGGGTCTCTCTACTCCTGTAGTCTGTACTGGATCTTTAAAAAGCATCCCATAATTCTTGGATGTTGTAGCAGTTCCTTCCTATCCTGGCAGCTGCTACTTGGAATTTTTTAAATTGTTTATAGAGAATAAGGCATTCATCTTTAAGAGTTCCAACTTTGAATACCTCCTTTAACCCTAGCACTCTGTAAACCTGTTCTAGAGAGGGAAGGTTTAAGTTTAAGTGCCTAATGTACCTTGTCACTTAAATCACTCCCTGGCAGGATTCAGCTTTTTATCCTTTTGTAATAGAGTAATGACATTAACATGGGAGAAGAAAAATTAGGTCCCCAAATTGATGATCTCAACATCCCAGAATCACTTAATCACAATATATTCTCTAACTCTTCCATCAAATTATTTCAAGCCTGACATCAAAGTTTGGGATATGTCTGCCTTGAGACAGAGAAACCTCACTTTAGACCAGTAAAGCCTTGTCATGCTGCTACGTAAAATCAGAGAATCATATAAAATTAGAGTTAGAAGGGTCCATAAAAATAATAAATTCCAACTCTCAATTTACAAATTAAAACTGGGATTGTGACTTAGGACAACCACACAACTATGGCAGGGCCAGGCCTGAACCCAGGTTTTCTAATTCCGGCACTTTTTCTCCTAGATCATGGCATTCTTAGGGTGCATCTGGGGGACTTTATAAAAATGGGTAGCTGATCCTCATCCCCAGAATTTCTGTTTCCGTCAGTCTGGGGTCTTGCTCATTTGTGTTTCTAAATTCCCAGGTGATGCTGATGCTGCTGGTTGGGAACCACCCCTTGAGAACCACTGGACTATATACTTCATTGAGTCTTTGCATAGTTAGTAATTTAATCATAAAGGTTCTTATTTCACACCATTTAGAATTAAGACAACAGACACTATCATAGGTAAGTCACATAAAGGACAAAGAGGTTAAATGACTTGCCAGTAGCCACACATCTAGCAAGTGTTCAGGACCTAGATGTTTTGCTCCAAATAGAAGTTCTTGGTGAATCGTAGGTTAGTAAATATATATCCCCAGCCCAGGTTAGCTCAGCTGAAAGTATTGGTTTCTAACAAGGGTACATTTGTTAGGAGATTGTCATTGCTGTATTCATACAAATCTCCAAATAAGTCAGATCTTGTCATTTTTAACTGATATTTTAACAAAAGTCACTAAATAATAGGAACATCACTACTCTGCAGAGACTCTAATTTTGAAGTATTACTGGGTCCGCCTTAGTAAAATTATCTTGTAATGTCATTAAGGCCCCTTTTTAAAATAGATTTTCTGACCTATTATTTACATGTTGGATTTTAATAAACTCTAAGGAGAGATTGAAGTTAAAGAGTTTAAAATGCTTCTTATGCTTCGATGTACCTTAGTTAAGTTTCTCCTTGATGTAAAAGCTACTTTTTCCTGGAATAGCCACATATGATTATTCAAAATGTTTTCTTACTAAAACACAGGACCTATGAGAATGAAACATACACAGTATATTCATGGCTATATCTTGATGAAGACTGCAAGGTAATTTCCAGTGATATTATTAGGTACAGTAGCAAAGAAGAGTCAGCCCATTTACATTCCAAATGTGATATAAAATTTGGATTCATGCTTAGAATTTTCCCAAACTGGACTAATGGTTAAAACAGTTATTGAGTTAAAGGCTATGGGAAGCTACAGTACCAATATTGTTTCACAAAAGTCCTATTTTTGTATTACAGACTCAGCAGAGTTCAGCAAGTAGTAGTGTATCTCAGTATAACCGATTGGATCAGTATGAAATCAGAAGCCTCTTGATGTGCTATTTGTATACAGTAAAAATGATTTCTGAAGGTGAGTTACTAGCATATTAATCGTGGACTGTACTCCACCCTCACAGGTTTACAAGTTCATGCAACAAATATTTGACCATCATCTGCATGTAGAACACATGCACATTAGAAACAGAACTTTGAAGACTCTGACCTTAGAATGTTCCTATATTTTAACTTAAAATAGGTTCATTTTTGTCATACAAGTTTGATTCTTTGAAATAACGTGTTTTTTTGATTTAAAAAATAGTTTCTAAAGTGAAGCAATAGTTTTAGAAGTGCTAAACATTTTTTTCATGCAGAGCATATAATGCATTAAATGACCAACATAAACAGAAAAAAATAGCAATAACCAGTGTCATAGTTAACACTTTAGCTTTTATTTGACCCAGGATTTGGAAAATCAGAAGCAAACAAAAAGACAGGAAGGGTTATTTGAGGGTAAGGAATGTCGTTGTTATCTTTTGCAGTACCATTAGACAGTTTTGCATGGTGTCAGCTTCTTTTCCAGGCTCTGTTCTTTTTTCCTTGGTGTATAATTGTATTATTAACTAGTATTACCATTTCCTCTTTACCTTATATGATAAACTATAACCAAAGGATTTTCATAAACTGCATGTCCTCTGGAAGTAAAATCAGAAGGTTATCTTGTTCCCAAGACCACATTTGTTTACACAGTTCCCTCCCCTTTCTTCCTTTTCTGTTTTTGCTCAAAAAAAAAAAAAAAAAAAAAAAAAAAAA